TTATCTCAGTCCTGTCAGAATGGCTAAGACCAATAGGACAAGTGGCAGAATAACACAAGAACACTCGATAGCTCGGAGATTTAAGGTAAAACAAACACTACTGGTCCCAAATAATGTATCAATAAAAAGACTGCCAATAATATTATGCTATACTTATAGATTAGTACTTTATCTAGTCATCATCAGAGATGATTTCTCTACTACCAGATGGGACCAGATACAGAGACCCACAGTCAAACATTAGGCAAAGTGAGAGTCTAAATGGCAGGTCTCTATCAAATTCCACTCCTCAGAGCTCAGAGAAATCTCAAGAGAAAGGAAGAAAAAAGTGTAAGATGCAAAAAGGATGAAGGCTTCAGGAGCACAAGGCCTGAATCAACTAAGAGAGGTACATATGAGCTCACAGAGACTGAAGTGTAACAACGAACAGGACAGCCCTGCTTGTTTTTGGGGGTTTTTGTCCCACCTGGAACCCCCACAACTGTTTAGCCCCAAAGAAAATCACACATAGGTCTCCATAAATTATAAACTGATTGGCCCATTAGCTCTAGCCTCTCACTCGCTAATTCTCACATCTTGATTAACCCATTTTTTTTTTATCTATGTTAGCCATGTGGCTCAGTACCTTTTTTCAGTGGGGAGATCACATCCTGCTGCTTTGGTGCCTGGGCAGGAGTAGGAGAAATCAACTTCCCCCACACCACTGAAGCAACAAGCACAGGGCCTACATGGGTCTGCATTAGGTCTTCTCCATACATATAGCTATTAGCTTAGTTTTCTTATGGGACTCATGACCTTGAGAACAAGTGAGTTTATGACTCTTGTGCCTGCTCTTGGGACTCTTTTCCTCCTGCTAGGTTGCTGTATCCAGCTTTGATGTGTGGGGGAATTGTCTGTATTCTGTCAATCATGTTACAAATAAACACTGATTGGCCACGCAGGAAGTATAGGCAGGAAAACCAGACAGGAAATAAAATGAGAACAGGAGAATTCTGGGAAGGAGGAAGTTTTTACCCAAAATTTCTCACTCTACTTTTTTCACTTGTCAACCTGAAAGGAAACTCAGATGGGTTTTCTCAGAAAAGAGAATAAGTTAGCAATGCTCATGAATGAACAGAAGATTTGCAAAAATTCAGGGTGTATATGCATTGGCAAACTATGGAGGCGATGAAGAAACGCAGATAGCCAAGAAACACAGCACTTTATAAGGGCAAGGAGAAGAACACTTCACCATGTGCCTCTGGAATTATATGCTTCTGAAATAAGAAACCCTGACCATAAGAATCATAACAACTGGCATGTGTCAGGTGTATGATAGGCAGATATTGGCTAGGTGTTTTTGCATAAGAAATCTCAGCATATGGACTCTTATGCTAGGATATGGTTTTGGCAATCATTTGTGATAACTCGGTTTATTCGAAGAATTTGATAAAAAACTTTTTCCATAAGCTACTGGTTTATTTGTTTCTATTTGATACATATCGCTCTAAATTCTCATATGTCCATAGTCTCTTCTTTCATTTCACTGTTTCTCACACAGCATGAAGATCATAAAACATGCACATAGTCATTGCATCCTTGCCACCACTCCTGACTCCTAGCAGAGTTCTGAGATGGTGAAGTTCAAAGACTATTTGTATCTCCCTTCTACCATCTGTGGAATCTTCATTGTCAGATGGCCTGACCAGTTATACTGACCTTAAATTTGTGTTTTAGAGTCTGTTTTTAAGGGTCCTTTCAATACTAAGTTAATTAAGTTGAGTTGCCTAGGTATTGTTTCTGAAGTAGTTTAAGTCAAATTTATTAGTGAATGACTATAGGAAAAGCATCTGTCAGGAATTGAGGAGAGATGGATAAGGAAGAAAATAATTCAACCATAATATAGTTTCATTAGAACTTTGGAGCTGGGGTAGCCCATCAAAACTGTCCTGTCATGAGATAAAGGAGCTGGGCATCTGTATCATTGCATTGTTCACTGTTATGTGTACCTTCTCTAGAGAGGAGGCCTATCTGTTTAGGAAAGAGAGCTTGCTCTGGCCAAAGGGCATTATAAGGAAGGTATCTACTTTGACTATCAGCAGCAGATATTTTCTATACCTCACTTGTGAGCTAAACCAGATCTGTTTACCTATGCAGAAAAAATGTACAAGCATATATATATATATGTGTGTGTGTTAATAAACAGGGAATTATTACACAGAGAACATATCCATATAGCCACTATGTCTTTTAGAAAGTTTAGCATTAAAGAAGTAAAACACATTGAAGAATCTACATTGTCATTAACTGAGTTTCCATCATAAGGATGACTATCAATGTCTAATACTGTAGTTTGTTCAGCTTGCTTTTCAGGTTTTATATACATAGAGTCCAAACAGCACTTGTGCATCTTCCTTTACTCTGTGATTTTGAATACACCATGTAGCAGTGTGCATTGGTAGTCAACACAATGCTATATGAATTTTTCTTTGTATAAATGATCACGAATTATCACTCTAAATGCTGTCACAGGCTGCTGAGTACATTAAGTTGTAAATAAATTATTTGGGAATAGTTGCTGTTTCATCATTTAGCCCTGTTCATCATTTAGCCCTGATTTCGTGTGTCTATGTCTCTGTGGGTAACATGCTTTTCAATAGCTTGGTTCCTGGTAGGTGACTCAGAAAAATGCTCAGAGGCAAATATGCTTTTAAACTCGTGCCTGTTGATAGGAACCTTTCTGTGTCTTTTGAAGTTGAATGTTGCTTATTCTTAACTGGGACATCATTGGCTAATACTACCCTTGAACATAGATACACTTCTGCATTGGCTGTGCTCAAGTGGAGTCTCCTGTTTTTTTGTGTTTTGTATACAAACTTTTGAAATGCCCTTTCCTTCTATAGGTGCAGTTAACCACATACTTCACTAGCACAGTTAACCACATACTTCACTAGCACAAGAAGTTTTAAAAAAATGTTACCAAGAGGGTTCTCAAATGAACAAAACTTAATCCCTGACTATTTTTCATTCTTGTTTTTTTTTTTTGGTAAACATTTATGTATATGTGTCTGTGTGTCAAAATATGCAAGTGTGTGTGTGTGCACGTGTGTGTCTATAGAGGCCAGAGGCATCCAGTCCAGTGCAACTGGAGTTACAGACAGTTGTGAGCCATCCATTGTGGATGTTGGAATCTGAACTCAGGTCTTCTGCTGGAGCAATATGTGCTCAATATCTGAGCCATTTCTTCAGCTACTGTCTAGTTTTTAACATATAAATATATACTGGCATTGAGATCTAATGACTTTTAATATTATTAAACTATCCAACTTTGTTAAAAGTGCATCTTAAGCAACATATTAAGCCGCATGATTCATTGCTGTAATAATAACTTGGTATTTCAAAGATCTCATTAAAGTAGATCATATGGTGACTTATCTAAATCTGTTCTATTCCCAAGTCCATGAGTTCTGCCAGGCAGGTGGCAGAGGGGAGCAGATGAGTAGGCCTGAGTCAGTTGAGATGAGTTCCTTTTCTGCAAACTTTGTCTCCTTTCTGACAGTCTAGTAAGCTTGGATGGCCTCTCTCCATGTAGACTGGGTTTCAGCAGATCCACATGACATTTTCTTAAGGAATTGAAGAAAATTTGCTAAGTTTGCCATAATGGAGTTTGCCTCTCCACTTTTACCATCCTCACCTCTCTGCAATATGAATACCTCACCTCATTCAATAAGTTAGTTTATTTTTAGGTACAGCATTAAGAGAAGGGGAGTTTTTTCCCTTATCACCAAGATTAATATTATAAAAAAGTTTTTTAATTATTAAAAAATCATGTACAAATATACACTCAAAAATAAAATTTGAAAAATAATTATATAGTAGATAGATTCAATTAAAAAATCAGAATTAACAAATTAATAAAGGCAGAAAATTTTAAATTCAATGAAACAAAAATAATTTGAATTGTGGGCAAATACATGGCTAGATGGTAGACAAATATGAAAAGTAAAATGGGAGGTGATATATTTAATATTTAAAAAATGTCACCATAGTGGGACTTTATTATGGATGATTTTCTTTTTTATCAGATGATTTTTTATTTATTTCCAATTTCAATGATTCAAATGTATTAGGCAATATATATATATATATATAATAAAACTTATAGCTAATAAGTAGTTTAATAGTTTATATTTTAATGGTTTTGATATTAGGTAAAATATAAAACTGATAAAATATTGTTACAAAAGATACAAAAACATTTTAAGAAGAAAATAATGTGATAAGTTCTAGACACAGAATGAGGGCTAGGGAACTGAGATAACTCAGCCTAATCTCTATTGACTGATGTAATCATGGATTAGCTGGGAGCTGAAGACTCTAGGGACAGAGTAAGTCATGGTGCCAACCATGGTCTTGATGAGCTTCTGTTATTATATTCTGAGTTTCTAACTTACTACTTCCGTTTCACATTCTGAACATTCAGCCTACCACTAATAGCAGAAATGTCTATGCGTGCAAAAAGTTATTAGTTCCTGCCTTAGAGAACATCTGTTCTTGCTCCAAAATAGCATAGCAACTCTATTTAAATAGTCCCTGTACAGTCTGCTGCAATTTGTCTTTTCAGCTACATGAATACTTGCTATGACATGAATGTACAAGAAGAGAAGAAAAAAAACTCAAATCTGTATAACTCTAGACTAAATAATTGTATTCACTACATAAAATTATATTGTTAAAATTCTATTTAAGGTATTGGAAACATTACCTTACAACTCTCTTCACACCTGTCTATCCTTCACTGATGATGCTTGTTTGTAACATTGACAATTGTACAATTGTGTTTTGAAACTGAACTTGACCCCCTGCACTTTTCTACTTCCTGATTAGTAGCAAATCACATTGGGTTTAGATTCTCTTTATTTCAATTATCTACAAAAATGAATTATCTATGAAATATTTAAAATGAGTGAAATAATTCCAAAACATTTTTTGAAAATTTTTATTTTGACTATTACTGTTACTTGACATTGAGTGAGGTTGTTGTTTTACTTATGTTTGCTATTACTCTACTAAAACATAATGACCACAAGCAATATGAAAAAGAAATTGTTAATTTCTGCTTACAATTCTTAGGACACAATTCATCACTGAAGGAAATCAGGACAGGAACTCAAGGCAGGAATCTTGAGGCAGATTCCTAAACTAAAAAAAAAAAAAAAGAAAGAAAAATAAAAGGCTTACTCCATCATTAAGCTCATTTTGTTTATATAATTTAACTGAGTTTTCAAGCACACAGAAATACATTTTTGTAACTCCTATAGTTTTCAGACATTTCAAAAAATACTTTGTGTGTGTGTATGTGTGTAGGGGGGGATGAGGGTGGCAGATTATGCATGTGGAGATCAGAGGACAACTTTCAGGAGTAGATTATTTCCTGACACCATGCAGGATAGTTTCAGAGATGGAACTCTCTCTCACTAGACATTATGTCTTATACCTTTAATACAGCAGGTTTTATTTGGTTGGTTTTGGTTTTGAACATATTCTTTTTTTTTCTTTTCTTTTCTTTTTCGAGACAGGGTTTCTCTGTCCTGGAACTAGCTCTTGTAGACCAGGCTGGTCTCAAACTCACAGAGATCTGCCTGCCTCTGCCTCCCAAGTGTTGGGATTAAAGGCGTGCGCCACCACCGCCTGGCAGTTTTGAACATATTCTACAATCTATCAGAAGTCTTGACTTTTTCTAAGATTTTGAAAATTATTCATATTTACTCTATAAATTATGAGGTTTTATGGATTTTTCACAAATTTTACATAGTATCTATCTTCACACAGCTCATATACAATAGTTTATTTACCCTAAAACATTCCCTATATTCCAGGCAAACAGATATCCCACAACCCACCACAAACTCTTTGTTAACATCCTTTTTATTTACTACGTCTTTAATTTTGTCCTTTTTAAATATGGCATAAATATGGAATGGTATCAGAAAATACATAACATTTCAGCAAGGTATCTTCAGTCATCATTGTTTATGCATCCATAAGTTTATTCACCTTTATTGCTCATTCCTTTATGGAGACAACTAGTATTTGTTGTATGAATGGTTCATTGTGCTAAACATTTATCCCAAGACCACACACATTCTCTTAAATTAATAAGGCAGTTCTATGGTTTGGTATTAGTTGGTGATCCAGTTTAAATTAATTTTTACCAAAGTGTAATGCCTTGTATAGAAATATTTCTTAGAAGACACCAGATAATTCCAGTCAGCATCACTCATGAGAAGACTATTGTTTTCCCATCAGTTCCCTTTGCATAATGGAAAGACTGACTTCTTAGCTGTTGGGCCTGTTTCTGAGCAATCTATGTTGACTATGATTATTCTTTCACCAATACTCTTGTTTACAGAACTTTTATAGTAAGAATTCATTCTATTTTGGAATTGTGTTAGCTATTGGTATTATTTAAGATTCTCTAGAGGAAAGGAACTGATAGAGCAAATATATATTTAAAGCATTTAACAAATTGACTTATATAATGCTCAACCCATGATGCTTCCTTCTTATGAAACATTAAGAAATGTGTTTCCTGTTGCTATTTAAGGGTGAGATGCCTTAATGCCTCCTCTACTTTATTAGCATTTCCAATCCTCCTAGGTATGGGAAACTCTTTGTCATTCTCCATGTGTCCCCATTAGAGTATAGAGACTGTATTATCTGAGGTATTTTGGAAAGAGTATGTGATTCATAGATTTTTGTTCTGGAGTAAAGGTATAAAATATGTAAATTGTGAAATTAAGGAGTGAGGAGAGGAGGAAAGACTGTGGGATGGAAGGCATAGAATTGGGAAGTATATGAGGTAGTAGTGGGGCTATTGCAGAGGTCCAAGTGTAGAATTAGTTTTTGTAGGAGCAGTCAGATGAGGAACAATCATAAGATCTACTTTGTTGAGATGGAGCTTAAATTACAGTGGATTGATAATTTTCTATAGAATTATAGGAAGGTTTAGAAAAACAGCCAATCAGAAATGGATTTTAAATTGCTAAAATATTGGACAAATACAGATGCCACAAAAATACATATATTTGAATATATATTCAAATAATTTTACAATTAAAATAAACAAATATATCCAATCAATATTCATGAAGAAGAGAAAGGAGGAGGAGGAAGAAGGAAAGAAAGGAGGGAGAAGGAAGGGGAAAATGGGGAATGAGGTAGAGAAAGTATATTACTTTTCAGTCTTTATACATTGTTTATTTTGGTTTTTCAACAATTCATTAAGAAATTCCCAGAGCTTCACCTGTTTGGTATTCAGCTACAGAGATAACTGATGCTGATTTGCAGTACAGGGTACTAGCAGGCCTTTTCCCATGGACATCAAAGACAACCTGAGGTTAGGTAGGCATGAAGTCACATTTTTTGGACATGGAAGTTAACTTTTCTTTATTTGCCTTTCTGAAGATGTGTTACAGATTTTAAAGCACTATTTGCATTTCTTCTTAGTTATTAACTTTTTTCATCTTTATCCATCTATTTCTGCAATTTAGCTTCTAACAGAAATCCCTGTATAAGCTGTCTCCTTTTATTTTATTTTTTAATTCATTATAAGTATTTAATAAATAAATTTAGTTATGGCACATCCTGGCAACAGTTCCCCCACCTCCTTCTCTCTCCCAGTTCTTCCTTTCTAACACCTTCTGTTCCCATCCCCAATCCACTCTATCTCTATTTCTGTTTAGAAAAGGGCAGGTCTCCCATGAATATCAACAAAATGTGGCATATCAAGTTACACTAAGACTAACCACCTCCCACGTGTTAAGGCTGGACAAGGTGACCCTGCCTGAGGAGAAGGGTCCATAATACCAGAAAAGTGTCAGAGACTAACCCTGCACCTACTGTTAGGAGTTCCACAAGAAATCCAAAAGTGGTCAGGACAGAAAAGCTCTGCTTCTGTTTACAAGTCTAAGCTGAGATTTTTTTTTTCAGATTCTCCTACTTTTTCTTTCTCTTTCAGTACTTTCCCCCTCAGCTCCTTCCCCAACCTGATCACTCCTGTTCCCATCCCCACCCTCTATCCCCACCACTCATGAAATCGCTTTCATTTCCTCTTCTCATGGAAATCTGGGTGCCCCTCCATGTACCCTCCTTGTTACATAGCCTCTCTGGGGCTGTGGATTGTAGCATGGTTATCCTTTATTTTACAGTTAATATCCACTTATGAGTCAGTATAAACAGATAAATTTTTTTTTTAAAAAAAATGTAAGTCTAAGAACTGAGAGAAGAAATTCCATGAGGTGAGTTCAGCCTGTCGGGACTCCACCAGGGAAACTTAGTAAATACTGGAAAGGCAATGAAGACTTAGTAGACTTTAGAAAGCATTGCAAAGCTGTAAGAAGCAAAATATTAGACATTCTGACTGCGGTAAGATGAAGTCTCAAAGAAGCTTTAATCTGCATTTCCAATGACTAGGAATGTGGAGCATAAAGTAAAATAAAAAATTCTTATCCATCTGTATTTCCTCTTTGAGTACTGTCTGTTTTGTTCCCTAACCCATTTAAACTTGCATTCAAATATCCCCAATGTTACAACACCGTGTTCTTCTCCATTTTTATGTCCCATAGTTGCCTTTTGATTTTTTTTGTGGTAAAAGTTAAATTAAATAACATATCTTTAAAAAATTAATCTGTCACTGGAGAGATGGCTCAGTGGATAAAGTGTTTGTCACACAGGTGTGAGAACCAAGTTTAGCACCCATGAAAAAGCCAGGATGTGTGCTGGCCTGCCTAATATACAAGAGATAGATATGTTGGATCCTTTGGCAAATTAGTTAGATAGGCTAGCCAAATCTTAGAATTCCTGGCTCAGCCTAAGAACCTGTCTTGGTATATAAAGTGGTGATAGATAAAGACATCCAAAGTCAACATTTGTCTTCCACACTTAGCAGCAAACCCGTGTATGTGTATTGTACACATGGGTACTCACATACAAATACACATGTACACCCAAACACACATACACAAAAATAATCTGGCTAAATTTGTTTCCAATTTGGCTATTTTGTTTGATAATATAATCATACTTAACCAGCCCTCTTAACTATACTGTTGTTTTATACCAACTATTTGATTTTTCTGTCTTTTTTAAATGACCTTGTTTGAGGAACAAAATTTTTAACTTGAGGGGGCTGGTGGAGTTGAGACAATCACTGGCTAGAATTTACTATATAACCTAGGCTGGCCTCTAATTCCCAATCTTCCCACCTTGGCCTTTAAAGTGCTGTATAACAGAAGTGAGCCACCCAGCTCTCCTTAACATTTCTAAATTTGGAAAATGTATCACAGATTTTATTTTTCAACAATAGCTCCAAGATTTTCAACTATATTTCAACTATCATTCCAATATTTGTTTTTCTTATCAATCTTATTTATTATACTGATTTAGAAATAAACTACTGAATAAAACAAAAATTAGTTTTAATCAAATGGTTAGATTCATTCTTATTTCTGTTTGTTTGGTTTATTTGCTAAGTCTGTATTTATTACATCTTATAGTAAGTGTTATCTTTGGAACATATATAAGGATTGTTTTCTTTGTCTCTGCAAAATGAATGGCTGTACTGCATAAACATTTCCCCAGTCTATAAAGTCTCTCTAGTAATGATCTTTTATACCCTACATAGTAAGCATTGTTTTAGTAGCCAAAGGATCCAATACCCACTGAAATGTTTAAACATATGGAATAATTTCATTTATGGTGGCAGGAAAATGAAAATGGCTAAGCATATCTTTGTCTTTAATTTTGAATCAAAAAAATTTAAAGCATTGTTTAAAGTATAATTTGCAAATGGGTACACTTGTTAAAGAATGTCATTTGAGAGAACTGGTTAATATATCGAGTTTATCACAAATTTAATTGGTAAATTAGTTTATTCCCAAAGGTTAACACTGGCGTCCCTCTTATAACATTATTCCGTTGAATGCTATTGCTAATCCACTAATAACAAAGTAATTTTTTATTAAAGAAGAGCAATTAGTCTATATACCGGACTTAATTTCCTTTCTTTGCCTGAGAAGGTGTAGGTTAGACAAATAGTTCTGCATGCACATAATTGCAACTGTGGAATTATTTGCACTACAATGTAGATAGTTAGAGGGGAACTTTGCAAAGATTGTTTAAAAATCCCTCAATAAATTAAAAATGGAATGCAGAGCACAATCTTCTGTAAAGATTAGAGAGCTTTGTGCTATGTGCATTTACAATGACCTATAAACAAAGCTTTTCTAAGTTCCCTCAATTTAAGTTCTGCTCTCCTCTAGCACCACACCCCTTGTCATCACACTCTTTTCTGGTTGCACCATGGGTGTGCAGAACAGTCATGCTCATGGGCTCCCAGGCTTCTACCTGCGCTGCTCAGGTGGGCTGCACTAGCAACTTTGCATGGAGGCAGATATGCAGGAAGGCAAGGAGAGACAGTGATAACTTACATTATTGGCTCAGGCTTTCGAGTCAGCTTGCAGCCTTCTCTTTCCCTGTAGTGAGACAACAAGCATAGAATTGTTTTGCTTTTGTTTATTTATTAACAATATATTTTTGTATGTGTCTGTCACTTTGAAAAAATTAGTCAAGTTTTCACTTATGGAAGTATCTCTCTGAAAATTGTTATGCATTTTAATATTAGTAATATGCCACCCTGAGTTAATATAGTCTCTGTAGGAAGAAATTACATGATGAGTTGTAACTAGGTAATTACTTCACCTTTATAAAAAGGCAACTTGGGTTATATAAACCACCTGAAGAATTGCAGGCCAAATGAAGCATGCATCTCCCGTTTTTAAATGCAGTCCTGGAGATACCCTCCTTCCCTATGACCATGGCATGTAGAAGATGGGCTTGCTTACTTTGTGTAGACTTTCCCATTCTTGCTGCTTCCTGTATGGTTTTTCCCATTGTTCCAGCATTTCATTCTTCATTATTGTCTTTAAACATTGCCACACATTTTTCCTTGGTCAAGAGAATAAAATGCTCTATGTGTATCATTGCTGAGCTTACACATCCACCGTCTGATCTACATGCCTATCTTTTTAACTGCCTTAGCAATTTTGGAAACATGTTCCAGATTGAATATTTTATCAGCCTGTGTCTTTAGGAGTTGAAAGGAAATAGAGCCTTCTCCAGCACAGTGGGCATTTAGCATGAGTAAGAACTTGACTTTGACTAACACAAATCCCTAAGATTTGGCACTGTATGCTGCCAACACAATACTTAGATGACCCTAAATACTCAAATACAGCATACTACTATTTGGATAAAATGACATTTTGGAGTTTTTCCTTGTGTTCAAGAAAATAGAAATTGTCTGTCTTCTTCATAATGTACCACTGAGGTATCCAAACAGAAGTCCAGTGCCTCTTTTTGTAGCACCATTAAATTGAGTGGCATCTAAATCTGGGCAGCTTTACTTTTAGGTCTATTGACTGATTCTGGAGATACATGACAAAACATATTCATACTATAAGAGAAAATACATGTTAGTAGAAGGATGTTATTCTCCTATTGGGACAATTTTTTTTTATTGGAACCTATACTTAATATTCTTAAACAGGAGACTGCTTTTGAATTTAGGGGAAATTTGAAAAGTCATTTCCAATTGAAGAGTTTCAGATACTCAGAAATAGAAATAGCCAGAGGTAATATGTTAACAAGAACTTTGAAACAGGAACATTTATGTAAAATAAAAGGTTCTACACACACACACACACACACACACACACACACACACGATGATAGGCTCTTAAAAGATATTCCACATTAGCTCAGAAGTGACTATAATAGAGAGTTATTTATTTAGGGTTAGACTCACAGATCACAGCTCTCTTTTCAAACAGAGAACAGCAACCAATTCCCAAAGTCAGAAAAGAGGCTGGACCAGCAGTTTATGTCGACATTTATAGTATAAAAGGCCACGCCAAGTGGGTGAGTAACTTAAAGACTACTGGCTGTAGGAATTCTTACATCACCTCCCCCATTTGTTTAAATAAGAAAGTTCTTAGCCTAATACAAAATTATGAACAAATATCTTGTATAAAAATTAGAATTAAAACCACCGGCATAAACAATATTGAGCAAAAATATGTAATAAATGTTTCAAAAATTATCATATCCTAAGGAGTTTAAATCTTGTATTATAAATAACTTGGCTAAGTCATGAGAGGAAAGTAACTACAATTATCTAGTCTTCAACCCCATCTGTGTCCCAAAAAGGGGAATAACAGTACTTGAGTAAGCAGAAAAAGCCATCAAGCAACTTCCAAAATGTGCAACAAATGACAGAGACAACTGGTTACCTGGGCAATCACCCAAAATCTCATTTGTAATGTTGCAGAAAACAACTTGGATAAGGCCTAGAGTAACTGACAGACCATTTTCAGAGGAAGGAAATTTTTCAAAACTGTTTTACCTTGTCTTGGCAGTCCTGCTTATCCATTTCTGGATACCATGTACCTTGTCAGTGGTTGAGGCATAGGCAGTTCCTTTACCAAAGGCCAGATTTGCCAAGAAGAAAACAAGCTCCAAATGGAGTGTCTTTAGCGCTTAATATCCTATTGGGAATAGATTGGTGCTGCCAGGAGCAATCATGTCTCATGTCAAATAGAACCCTAAGTTATTTAAATGCCATACTCTACAGCTCTTTCAAATAGTTGAAGATTACCTATCTATGTAGAATGCAATCTCTATGTATCTAAAGAACCTGATTAGTCTAACTATAAATATGACAAACATCATAACTATTGACTAATATTTCTTAATACCTATATAACTTAAAGACTAAGACTTCATATTAGAATATTAAACAATCTTTAAAAAACTTGCAACAAATGAGGACTATGACCTCAAAATGGAAACAATGTATAAGTATCTTGATCAGAGGTAAAAATCTATATTGTAATAAGATAAATATATCCTAAAATTGTTTCAATATACAAAATGTCTTAGAAGCATGCATTCATACAATATTACAAAATAACTTTGCTAGGTATACAAATATTGTAGACAAAAATAGGAACATATTCAATATAATTTAAGCTTGTATCAATATATAAGAATATATACTAAGGTAAATTGCCTATAAATAATAGGTCACAAATATTCACCCCAGTACTCACTATTATTTTTAGTGTGAGTAAGGTAACAATAATCTATTATCCCATCTAATTTCCTTTTTTTCCAAAGAGATCTGTGAGCTTACATAATTTCCCCCCAAGCCCCAATTCTATAACAATTATAATCAACCCCTAAATGATGTCCCTAACCCTGAGGACAAACTTTGCTGGGAGAGGGGACATTGTCTTCTAGAATTATTTCCATCTGTCACGGGGGCGATGTTCTTTCTATGGGAGCTTGTGAAAGTAAAATGATAGTTAAGTTCCAATATTACTGTCTGGTATAATTGCAAATAGTCTCTCAGTATTTGGTAGGGTTTTTTTTTTTTTTTTTTTTTTTGAGGTTTCTATTTGAAGTTCTGGCCAGAACATTGTAAAAAGTGTGCCATTTCAGCTAACTAAGATGGAACTATCTTGAGCAGCTGATACCCAAAATAGGTCTCATAGTAGCACTATCAGCATCATACATCATACTCCAGGTGAGGTTGTTGTTGTGAGACCCCATCTTCTTCCTGGAAACTTCAAAGATTACTTCAGGAAAATTCATTGTTCATTGTGGAAACTTAAACATTATATATACAGACATATATATTCAATGAAAGGTGTGATAGAGACAAAAATAAGTATGAAGAAAAGTAATTTTTTCTATTTTTTTTCTTTCTGTCCCTACCACAGCTCCTGACATGAGACAGAAACTCTGAATTTTTATTTTAACAACATGCTTGCATTTAGAGAAGGACAGAGCCAGTGTCCAACTCCAAAGCCAACTTTGATTTTTAAGTGAGTCATGATTATTGTTTTAGCTAGTATTCAGAAACTCTTACCCTCAAATGACTTGGTCTCATAAGTGATAATTCTCTTTGCTTGGTAATCCTATCCGGATAATTATCTACTCCTCTTTAGGAATCTAGATGTCCAGGGTCTCTTAGCTTTTTGAAGATGAGTATTTTCCTGCAAAGACAAGAACAGAAGCCTACTCCAACCCTTATGAGGTGTCCTTACCATCTGTATGGTTGTCATCATTGTGGATGAGCTGCCATTTCTCTTTTTCAAGAGTTTTCTCCTTTTCAAACTGAATCTTTATTAATTTTGATGGTATCCATAGTTTTCTTCTCCTGTGGAAACAAAAGCAAAAACCCTTCCTCAACATAGAACATCTCCTGGCTTCCATTATGAGATCAACACATCCTTGAAATATACCAGCTGATTTAATTCAGAAGACTTTTTTATTGTCCAATGACTTTCTGCTACTGTTGTCCTTTTCTCATTAGCATCAAGAAAATTCAAGGTTAATAAAGCATTATGTAATCCATTTCGTGGGCATTTTCCATCCCTTTCTGTTTGTTTAATATCCTTTATACTTTGATTTGATCATTCTATAAATGCCTGACCTGTAGGATTGTTTGACATACCTATAATATGCTTTATATTTTAATAAGCAAAAAGACTGTTTCCTTTTCTTAGAGACACATGATGGGCCATTATCTGCTTTATTTGTGCAGGAATACCCATAATGGTCATAACCTCTAATAAATGTGTGATTACTGAATCAGCCTTTTCTGAGCTAAAATTAGTTGCCCACTGAAAACCTGAATAAGTGTTTGATTACAGAAAGAGCAAGTATGACATCTCTTTATAATCTCCTTAGCTCATTGCCATGTAATGAAAATTCTTTCTTTAAACTTTTGCTATTGACATGATCTTTCTTTCTTTCTTTCTTTTTTTTTGGGGGGGGGGATTGAGACAGGGTTTCTCTGTAGCTTTGGTGCCCGTCCCAGAACTAGCTCTTGTAGACCAGGCTGGCCTCAAACTCCCAGAGATCCACCTGCCTCTGCCTCCTGAGTGGACATGATGTTTCTTATAAAATTCTGAGGCCTTCACATTTCCAATCAATAATCAATCAATTTCTGCATTACATTGTGCTAAAAGACCTGGTAGACCCATATGGGATCAGATGTGTTTATGTATATGGGACAGAGCCTATTCCTGATTATATCTTGAATGTATATGAATAATAAAGTCAATTCTCTATCATCTGGTATAAATTCAGTGGTTTGAATATACAAACCAACTCTTTCAGCATATTGTGAATCAATAACTATATTAAGAGGTTCTTTAAAATCCCTTAGTACCATGAGAATAGCATATAATTCTGCCTTTTAGATAGAATTATAAGGGCTTTTTTTCCTTAATTAAATTTTCTTATTTGTAACCTGCCTTTTCTGATTTATTTGCATCAGTATAGAATGTACAGGCTCTATTTATGAGAGTGGCCCACACAATGCAGGGAAAGATCCAAGTATTTTTTATAAGGTTAATTCTATCACTTTTTAAGATAATTGATTTAATCTCCCCTAAAAAATTAACACAGGCTCTTTGCCAAGGTTCATTGTCTTCCCATATTTTTTTTATTTCCTCAGTAGTAAAAGGCAATATAATCTGTGTTTGGTCTATACCTGCTAGTAGACAAAGTCTCAATTTTCCTTTTTAAATTAATTTAGAGATTTTTTTCACATAGATTTTTAATTTTTTACTTGGTTTATGCTGTAAAATATTCATTATAAGATAATATATTCCCTTTGCATTAAAATTCCTAAAAGGGTATTTCTGGAAGGCAATATGACTAAAATGCAATTAAGATTTGGATTCACCCTATCCACATGTGCCTCTAATTTTTCTTCAACAACATCAATTCCTTTTCTACTACAGTTGTTAATTCTCTGGGACTATTTAAGTCTTTGTCACCATTTAAGGTTTTGTTTAAATGAATTATTAGATCAGGAGTTATCCCAACATCTGGTTGTAGATGAAAAATGTCTCCTAACAATCATTGCATTATTCAGAGCCCGCAATCGGTCTCTCCTAATTTGTGCCTTTTGTGTTCTAATTTTCTGTAAACCTATTCTGTAACCTAGGCAATTAACAGAATCTCCTCTCTGTAGTTTTTCGGGAGCAATTTGTAATTCCTATTTTGGCAAAACTTTGTTTTCTTCTTCAATCATTCTTTCTAAATTATCTGTTTGAATCAGATAGCAAAATGTCATCCATGTAATGGTAAGTTATAGATTTAGGAATTTTTTATGTATTATTTCCAATGGCTGACCTACAAAGTATTGGCGTAGGGTGGGGTTATTGAGCATTCTCTGTGGGAAGATAGTCCACTAGTATCTCCTAGTAGGCTGGGAATTATAAGTAGGCAATTTTTTCTCTGTCCTTTTCTTGTAAAGGTATAGTGAAGAAACAATCTTTTAAATCAATAACTATAAGAGGCCATTGTTTTGGTAATAGAGAAGACAGAGAAATTCTAGATTGTAGAGGACCCATAGGTTGAATTACCTGTTGACAGCTCTTAGATCTGTCACCATTCTCCATTTACCAGATTTTTTTTTATAACAAATACAGGAGAATTCCAAGGACTATTTGAATCTTCAATATGGTAAGCATCTAGTTCCTCCTGTACCAGCTGTTCTAAACCCTTCAGTTTATCTTCTGTTAACAGCCACTGTTTAACCCATATTGGTTTTCAGATAACCATTTTAAAGGTAGGACTGTTGGTACCTCTAAAGGTTTGCTAGTTGCTTTGTGTTCTTGTACAGCCTGAATGGCTGGTGACCCTTGTGTATAGTACCTTATAATATCCTTCCTAGAATTATGAGTTTGTGAGACTGTAGGGATGTTAATCTATGTATTCCATTGCTGCAGAAGGTCACAATCCCATAAATTCACCGCAATATTAGCCACATACAACCTCAACCTTCCTCTCTGTCCTTCTGACCCTATGCATTCAAAACATATCATGCTTTGTTTCACTTGACATAGGGTTCCAAGTCCTAGTAATTGAACATCTGCCTCTTGAAGAGGCCAATTTAGATGCCAAGATTCTGGAGTAATGATACTCACATATGCATCTGTGTCTATCAAACCCACAATTGCAGTTCCATTTACATGCACTCTTAGCTTTGGTCTTTGATAAGTTATAAAAGTCTGCAAGAATATATATTTCCTATTGGAATCTTTGATTCATTCTCTATGTTTATACCATCATCTAGATCAGTATGTTTTTTTTTTTTTTTTGAGAAGGCTCTGAATTTTTTAATTTTCCTGGTGAGACATGTTCTCCACAGTAACGAGGTCAATGTACCACTTTTGACTTGGGGGCCTGCAAGAGGCCCCCTCCAAGGAGTTTCCTGATGGTATCAGATTGCCGTATCTATCTTTTGTTGATCAGCATCAATAACTAAAATAAACCATCCTTTAGGTAATGTAGAAGGCAAAGGAATTTCAGGCTGTAGAGAGCCCAATGGCAGAATCACTTTATTTATGGCTCTCAGATCTGTCAGCATTCTCCATTTTCCAGATTTCTTTTTAATAAAAAATACAGGAGAATTGCAAGGTGCAGGACCTGAATGACTATGAGACCTAGCAGATCTGAAAGTAACTACACCTAACAAATCTGATTAGTTAGAGCCAGTGTGGGGGTAGAGCAGAACCTGACTGGGGAGCATGCTGAGCAAAAACAGTCAGGCACGCAGAGTGACCTGGAAGCACTCTCATGAGTAGGTACATGAGACTAGGTTGCCCATGTGAAATGCTTGCACCAGGGTGGTCACAGGCCAGTCTGCCACAGGCACCACTTTCTCTTTTTATTTTAATTTATTTTTTAATTTTATTTTACTTTTCATCCACGGTTCTCCCCTCCTCCTCCTCCTCCTCCTCCTCCTCCTCCTCCTCCTCCTCCTCTTCCTCCAGCCCACCCCATCTACTTCTCTCAATTGGTAAGGGCTTCCATGTGAAGTCAACAAAGTCTGACACATTAAGTTGTGGCAGGACCAATCCCCATCCCCCACATTAAGGCTGAGCATGGCCTGTCACCATAGGGAATGGGCTCCAATAAGCAGATAGTACAAGTTTCACCACTGTCTCCCACATATTGAGGACCTAGTCCGATCCAATGCAGTTTCCATAGCTGTCAGTCTAGGGTTCGTGAGTTCCTGTGAGCTTGGTTCAGCTGTCTCTGTAGATTTCTCCCTTGCAGCAAACCACACCTGTCTGTGCTCTAGGCACCACCATAAAGTTCGTGAACTGGGCAAGGGGCTGGAGCTTGAAACACACAAAGACACACAGACAGAGAGAGACAGGTCATCCTTGATGCCAGAATGCCCCCTTTATTGTGTTTAGGGGCAGCTTATATAGGGATAGCCATGCCCCAGCCAAACCCACCAGAAACCACTCTCCTGCCATCAGGAACTCCTGAGGTCTCCTGCTCAGAGCAGCTGTAGGCACTCAGTACAGGGAAAAACAAGTTATTTCAGGATCTGGGGGTTCACAGCTCCCAACACTCCCTCATGATCTTTACCTCCTTTGCTCATGTATTACCTCCTCCCTCTCTTCAACTGGATTTCTGGAGCTTGGCGGGGTGGTTGGTTGTGGATCTCTGCATCTTGTTCTGTTAGTTGCTGGATGAAGGCTCTATGGCGTTAGTTGTGGTATTCACCAATCTGACTAGAGGGGAAGTTCAGTTCAGGCACCCACACCACTATTGATAGGACTCTTATTTGGGGGTCATTGTTGTGGATTTTTGGGAATATCCTTAGCACCAGGTTTCTTTCTAACCCCATAGTGGCTCTATCAAGATCTCTCTTTCATTGCTCTCTCACTTCATCCCTCTCCTCCCTTACCTATCCCATTTCTCCATGTTCTCACTCCTATCTCCTCCTTTCTACCACCCTCTCACCCTCAGATTGAGGGGACACAGAATCATCCACATGGTGCTGTTTTTAAGGTCATGCAGAATGCTGTAGTTCTACGACAATGGAGACTTAGACCAAGTATGTGTAAAAAAGCATCTGAGGTCAGACAGTGTATGGCAGAGTGAGAACCTCTACCCAGAGTCTTTGAACAAACTTCAGGTGAGAATTTATTCATATTTGGCAGTCCAGGATATTGGCAATGACAGGAATTTTAGAAATCTGCCAAAGAAATATCCATGCACAAGAGTAGCCTTCTCAAGAGACAGGACAAACGTGCTACAAGTGTTAGTGCTATGGAAGCAGACCAGAAAACCTAGGGAGTCAGGAGGCTCGAGCGCTGGTGAGCCATGAGCCTGTCTCTCTTCC